TCGCATTCCATTGTCCGTCTCGGTGGAGGTCGGCTTGTACTCGTTCCTGTAGAAACTTGTTCAAGTAGCGCACAAGGTTCGGGTACTCGAACGTTCTCCGGCATATCCCTCCGAAGCTCCCGTAGGCGTAGTAGCCGAAGATGTGTCTCGTCCGTGGTTCGGCGGTGCCGTGCATCTGGCGTCTCTTCGTTCTTGATGAAGTAGGGATCAACTCCATGACCTCCTCCAAGGTCTTATAGGTGTAGTCGCCTCCCTCAATGGCCTCCCGTGCTCGTTGCTCACAGTCCTTCGGGTCGTGCCTTGCGTGTCCAGTGAGGAAGTTGTCCACCACCATGGCGTGGGCCAGCTCCTCCTCACCCGAGTCCACGTCATACCCGTAGCTGTTGCATTCGGTGCCCTCGGTGTTGTGGTCCTGGATAGCTTCCGGGTTATAGTCAAGATGGCCACCACCTTCATCGCATTTGACTTGTCCTGTAGTGTTCTTGCCGAACTCGCCGTGCTCGATGTCCTCTGCTTCGGAGTTCTGAGGGTCGTCTAGGTTGTAGTTGATGAAGCCACCACCTCCTTCGCATTCACCCTGTCCAGTGGTGTTCTTGCCAGACTCGTCGAAGTCGATGTCCTCTGTGTTGGAGTTCTGCGGGTTGTTCTGGTTGTAGTTGATGAAGCCACCACCTTCTTCACATTCACCTTGTCCCGTAGTGAAGTTCTTGCCGAACTCGTCGTAGTCGATGCCCTCTGTGTTGGAGTCCTGCGGGTCGTTCTGGTGGTAGTTGATGAAGCCATCGGTCCTTTCCCTGAATTTCTCGTCGTGGTGCTCGTAATGCGTCCCCCCAAACCCGTCACCATGTTCTCCAGGACGCACGGGATCGGGGTTCACGTGGGCGAAGTCGCCGGTGTCGTTGATCTTCAGGGTTGCCCGGGTTGTGTCCTCATCCCGTGCCGGTCGCGTAGGACTGCAAGTCGTGTCTCCAGCTCCTGAATTTCGCTCGTGACCTCGTCGGGGATCTCCTGGTTCATGTGGGTGAGCGCTCCTGGTTCCTCCTCCACGGGTCGTCGAGCACCCTCTTCGGCATCACGAGGTGTGGTGCCGTGGCTTTGCTCCGCGTAGTCCCCTGCACCATGGACCATGCCGTTGAGCTCGTTCCCGAACTTGCCGTTAAGCATAGGAGGCGGCGGTACCACCGCC